AGAGGTGCTACAACAATTCAAGCAGTGGGTAAGTTTTGTAGAGAGAAGGTACAGACAACAAGTGTGTCAGTTGCAAACTGACAGAGGTACTGAATTTATGTCAACTAAATTCCAACAATGGTTGGGGCAGTTGGGGATGAGACACAGACGTACAAATCCTTACACAGCAGCAGAGAACGGTGTAGCTGAAAGAAGGAATGGTGTTTTGCAAACAATAAAGCTTCGTTGTTAGAGGATTCTGGTATGAGCAGGTCATATTGGGGAGAAGCCATATTGACTGCCAATTATATAGTTAACAGGCTGTGGAGTTCCTCCATTAATAATACTCCATATGCCACTCTATATGGGAGAAAGCTATCACTGGCACATTTGAGAATTTTTGGAAGTACTGCATGGGTACATATTCCGAAAGTAATCAGAAGGAAGGGACAGCAAAAGGCAAGAAAGCTTAGGTTTGTGGGCTATGAGCCAGGGTCAAAAGGATATCGCTTTAGCGATGGAAGTAAAAGAGTTATAATTTCAAGGTCTGCTAATTTTGCAGAACAAAATTGGGACAGAATTAATGCAAATTCTGGGTATATCTCACTTAATGACGGTGATCTGTTTAGTGACAATAATTCATCTAATGATAAAAAGTGAGTATAGAAGATGTCAATGTTCAGGGAGGAGAGGCTGAACAAGACATGAAGCCAGAAAGACTTGAGACACAGGAGCAGTTAATACCACGTAGGTCAGAGCGATGTAATAAAGGAATTCCGCCTGACAGGTATTCTGCCAGCAAGGTAAAGGTTTGCAATGTGTGGTATGATCCAAGAAGTTATAAAGAGGTGTTGGCATTACCAAAAGCTGAACAGGAAAGATGGAAGGAGGCCATGGATAAAGAGATGAAATCCATGGGAGACCATGAAGTATTTAAATCAGTGACTTTGCCACAGGGAACCGAAGCTATGGGTTGTAAGTGGGTATATAAGAAAAAAAGTATTGCCAAATAATGATATACAGTATAAGGCCAGGTTAGTGGCACAAGGTTTTTCACTATTAAAAAAATGTATTAAGTTAATAGGTCTGATGTCTCTTCCTGTCATGAAGGGAGGAGTGTTGGAATATTCATGAACAGGAAGAGTCATGAGTGGTAACTCAGTCAGCCAATGAGAAGAAAGGGCTACTGAGTCTGTGCAAAAGGAGTATTGAGTTAGGAGCTGGATTTCCAGTCTCAAGGTTTTGTCTCTGGTCTGTCTCTATAAGAAGACTTCATTAAGCTATGTTGCTGTAAAGAAGAATGGTGTCAATGCTGCAAATACTGTATATTTTTGCTTTGACAATATGCAAAACTGTCTGGTAATTACTGGGTTAATACATAGCTTAGAGTGGGGGGGGGAGCCCGGAAAAGAAAGAGGAAGTAAACTTTTGACCTTCACACTAATTGGATAATGTGACTAGTGACTGCAAGACAAGGGAGGGGTTTAGCAAGAAAAGATTGATGCCAGCGAGAGGAAGTCAGATTCTGGCATCAATACGCCCATGATGGTGACCGGCAAAATTGTAGCTCTGTAATAAAGACTTTAGGAAACATGCCTGAAAGTTCTTTGAAGTGCTTCATTGGTCGGAAACTGTGACAAATGGTATTGTAAATATTTTTATATAAATATAAAGTTATTTGAATCAGCTAAATGCAGTCAACTGTGAGAGCTTCTGATTTATTTTTCACCAATAGAGAAATTAAAATTCTCTAACAATGCCTCTGTTTATACAACCCAGGATTTTGTTAGCTTATTTGGTTGCTGCTGCACACTGCTGGCTCATAGTCAAGTGATCATCCACTAGGACTCCAAGGTCCCTCTCACAGTTAATGTTTCATCATTGCAGTCAGCCAGATGTTCAGACTGGATTTGGCATTTTTGTCTACCTATCAAGTCCTTACCAAGGATCTGGAATAGGCAGATGTTTCATGGTCTTATAGATGTTGTTGCAGGATGGAAGCTGTTCCCAGTAAAGCCGCATTCCACAATTGACTGATGGCAAATTTGTTAATGCCTGTGGTGTTCAAGTGATGCTCTGGTTGTTTTGGGATTGCACTGAAGGTGCCTATTACTATTGGTACTACCCTTGCTTGCTTTTGCCACAGTCATTCTATTTCTATTTGTAGGTCTTTGTATTTTGTTATCTTCTCCATTTTTTTCTATTCTATTCTGCTATTTCCAGGCATTGCCACATCCACTAGCCAGCTTTTTTTGTCTTTCTTAATGACAGTTGTTAAATCCAGGGTGTAATGTGGCAGGTTCCTGTCTGTTTGAATTCTAAAATCCCAGAGCAATTTAACTTCTTTATTTTCTATGACTTTCTCTATTTTATGGTCTCACCTGTTCTTGCTTGCAGGCAAATGATATTTTTTTCAGACCTTCCAGTGCACCATTGTTGCTACTTTGTCATGCTGTTGTTTGTAGTCAATCTGGATAATCTTCTTAGAGCAGAGGAACAGAGACTTACAACAGAGGCTCTTTGCAAAAGAAGATATTTCATTCCAAGATGCTTTGAGAGAGGTAACGGCTGAGGAGGCAGCAGGTGGGACGGTCAAGAACATGCGGCCCATCAGGAACAACCCAGAAGCAGTCTCCGTGCACCATGAGGGAGTCCAAGAAGGCTTGGAGGACAAATGCTTCGGGTGTGGAGGTCGCCATAAGAGAGCTGACTGCAGGTTCCGTTCCGCCATCTGCAGAGCATGTGGCCGGCAAGGCCACATAGCATCCGTCTGTCTGGGTTGCCAGAAGGTACAACCTCGAGAAGAATTACATCTGAAAGGTACCAGGGTCCCCAGCCAAAACAGGGTGGGTTTCTGCACATCGCGCAGAAGTATTTGCAGAACAGGCACATACAAACCACTTAAAAAGAAGCTGTCACTTAAGGTGAGGTTGCAAGGAGTCCCTTTGGTCATGGAGCTGGACACTGGGTATGCTCTTTCAATCATTTCCATTCATACATTTAGGAAAATTTGCAACAGCAATGGGTTCCAGGCCAAACTTAGGCCATCCAATATAATCTTAACAGACTTTCAAAATTCCAAGGTGTGTATAAAGGGGGAGGCCACCCTTACAGTGAGGCACAAGGATTTTGAAGGTCATTGGATATGTTGGTTGTTGGGGGTGAATGAACAAGTCTTATAGGACTTGATTGGTTTGAGGCCTTGGGAATCCAGGTTACTGGGCTGCAATATTTGCAAACGTTGGACCTAGCAGAAGTCTGCAAGAAGTTTGCAGATGTGTTTAAAGCTTGGGTCCTACAAGGGGCCTCCAGTTTCACTGAGGCTTGACCCTACCATCACACCCATTAGGGTTAAAGCTAGAAGAGTACCTTTTGCACTAAAAGGTAAAATTGATGCTGAGCTGGATAAATTGATCCAGCAAGGTATTTTAGAGCCTGTAGATTCAAGTCCATGGGAAACCCCCATAGTCACGCCTCTTAAGGCTAATGGGGACATACGCGTATGTGCAGACTACAATTGCACACTAAACAAGGCACTGCAACAGCACACGTACCCTGTACCAGTAGTCAGCCATATTTTGGCCTCCCTCAAAGAGGGGTGAGTTTTTGCAAAGCTCGATCTGGCACAGGCATATCAACAGTTACCTGTTGATGAAGCAGCTACTGAAGCATAGACCATTATAACATATAGGGGTGCATTCAAAGTCAAGAGACTGCAATTTGGAGTAAATGTAGCCTCTGGCATATGTCAAAGTGTCATGGAGAGTACAATTAGGGGTATCCCTGGAGTTTGCCCCTATTTCGATGATGTCCTTATTGCTGGAGAATCTACTCAGAATTTAGCAGAGAGATTAAGGGCTGTTTTGCTTCGTTTCCGAAGAGCAGGCCTAAAACTAAAAAAAGACAAGTGTAAGATAGGAGTCACTTCTACAGATTTCTTGGGATTCAGAATAGATGCCCAAGGTATTCACCCTGCTGAATCTAAATTGAAGGCTATACAGCAGGCTCCTAGCCCTAAGTCTAAAACTGAACTTCAGGCTTTCCTAGGTCTCTTGAATTTTTACAACGCTTTCCTACCTCACAAAGCTTCTGTAGAAGAACCACTACATAAGTGTTAGAGAATTTTAATTTCTCTATTAGTAAAAAAATAAATCAGAAGCTCTCACAGTTGACTGCATTTAGCTGATTCAAATAACTTTATATTTATATAAAAATATTTACAATACCATTCTTCTTTACAGCAACATAGCTTAATGAACACTTCTTACAGAGACAGACCAGAGACAAACCTTGGGACTGGAAATCCAGCTCCTAACTCAATACTCCTTTTGCACAGACTCAGTAGCACTTTCTTCACATTGGTGACTGAGTTACCACATGACTCTTCCTGTTCATGAATATTCCAATAATAGGCTTTTAGACAAGCAGGTAGTTTGGCAGTGGACCAAAGTCCACGAAAAGAACTTCAATGAGGTCAAGGCCTTGCTAACGTCCAATGATGTGCTTGCACATTTCAAGGAAAAATTACCTGTCTGCATCACCTATGATGCATCTCCTTATGGGGTGGGAGCTGTACTTAGCCACTTGAGGGCTGATGGAACTCAGGTTCCTGTAGCATATTACTCCAGGACTCCATCTTCTGCTGAGCGTAATTATGCTCAAATAGACAGGGAAGCATTGGCCATAGTAGCAGGAATTAAGAAATTCCGTGATTTTTTATATGGCTGACATTTCATGGTCTACACAGAACATAAGCCTCTGCTGGGGTTGTTTACAACCAACAAACAAACCCCTCATATTATTTCCCCTAGAATGGTGAGGTGGTCTATTTTTTTGTCAGCATATGATTATTCATTAATTCAGAAACCTAGTAAGGAGATGGGCCACACTGATGGCCCTCTGAAGCTAGTAAAAGCAGGCCCTGCTCTTGCCATCAATATTCTCTCCATTCAGGAGTTGCCTGAATCTCCCCTCAATGCCAGGGATGTGGCTGCAGGAACAGCCACAGATCTCACACTTACACGTGTGCTTTCATGGGTTTTGTCTGGATGGCCTGACAGAAGTCCAGGTACTGAGTTCCAAAGCTTCTGGCTCAAGAAGCATGAGTTATCCATCTTTAAGGGTTGCCTGTTGTGAGGCAGCAGGGTAGTTATTCCTGCATCATTGAGACCGAGAATCTTGGTCTCTCTCCATGAGGGTCATTCTGGCATTGTCAGGATGAAAGTGCTTGTGCGCAGCCATCTGTGGTGGCCTGGGCTAGATAAGGCTATAGAGGCCCAGGTGCACGGGTGTCACTTGTGCCAGCACTCAGGGCCGGAAATGCCTCAGGTCCCTGTGCATAGGTGGGAGGAAACACAATCACCTTGGTCCAGAGTGCATATAGATTATGCTGGGCCCTTTCAGGGGCAATTCTTCTTGGTCCTTGTTGATTGCCATTCAAAGTGGCTAGAGGTTGTTCCTGTTTCCTCCACTACTACTGCCAGGACCATCCAGGTGTTGAGAGGAATTTTTGCAGCATACGGCCTTCCAAATGTTCTGGTTTCAGATAACGGTCCTCAATTCACGTCTTCTGAGTTCCAGGCTTTCCTTCAGGCCAACATGATCCATCATGCGACTTCAGCCCCTTTCCACCCTTCCACCAACGGTATGGCTGAATGAATGGTGTGCATCACCAAGGATGCCCTCAAGAAACTGACATACGGTGACTGGAATCACAGGTTGGCAGACTTTCTTCTTGCACACCGCACCACACCTTGTACATCCACTGGGAAGAGCCCAGCCAAACTGTAGTTGCAGAGTGAATCATGTGGTTGTTAAGCAGATCCAGGTTCTCTTGCCATTTGGATTACAAGGGGGCCCTGCAGTCTTTATGCAATTAATCAATGACGTTCTAAGGGAGCACCTGTTTAAGGGTGTCCTTGTTTGCTTGGACGACATTCTTATCTTCACTGAAACAAAAGAGGAACATGTCAACCTTGTCAGAGCAGTGTTAAAGAAGCTGTGAGCTGCCCACCTATATGCCAAACTCTCAAAATGCGAATTCCACCAGGAAAGGATAGACTACCTAGGTTATCGCATATCCCCCCAGGGCATTGAAATGGACCCAGAGAAGGTCAAAGCAGTATTAGATTGGGCACCATCCCGCACAAGAAAGCAACTACAAAGTTTCCTGAGCTTTGCAAACTTTTACCGCCAATTCATCCCCTCATTTGCTCAGATAGCCTTGCCCCTCACTAACTTACTAAAAACGAAGGGAGCATCCTCAGTAAAACCTAGCCAGCCACTAACATGGACAATGGAGTGCCAAGCAGCGTTTGAGAGACTAAAGAGACTTTTTTCTGCCGAACCAGTACTAAGGCACCCAGACATGGACAAGCCCTTCGTAATACAGGCAGATGCAAGTGATGTGGCAGTGGGGGCTGTTCTATTACAAGAAAACGATGATGGGTATTGCAACCCTGTGCATATACATCCAAGAAACTCACGGAAACAGAACAGCGCTGGCCCGTATGGGAGAAGGAGGCTTATGGGATATGTTGGGCATTACTCACGTGGCGACAGTTCCTGGAAGGCAACAAAATCCCCTTCCAGGTGTGGACTGATCACAAAAATTTGAAAGCCCTGAAAACATCCAGGAAACTCAATCCCAAACAAGCCTGCTGGTCCCAGCATTTTCACCAGTTCCAATTTAAACTCAAACATTTACCAGGGAGAAAGAACTTCCTGGCAGATGCTCTATCTCGCATGCCTCAATATAACAGCGCACGAACCACAGACTCTAGACCAATAATGGCAGAGTCACAACTGGCAGCACCAGTAACCACAAGAACCCAAGCCAAATTAAAACCACAACTGGACAGCCAAACTGGAATTGAATTCAGAAAAAGTTTGGAAACAGATGAATGGTTCCAGAAAAACAAAAATGTGTGCACAATGAGAGACGGGGTGCCTTGGGTAGAGGAAAAGTTATATATACCAACAACTCAAAGAGTCATTTCATGCACCTTTGCCATGACACAAAATCAGCAGGGCATTTTGGATTTGTAAAAACTTTACATTTAATTAAACGGCAATTTTGGTCGCCATCCATGAAAAAGGACATAGAAAGTTATATTGCCAGCTGCCCAACAGGTGCATCTGCAAAGAGGTTGCAAGGGAAATCGCCAGGGCTATTACAACCAGTGGCAAATCCCTCAGCCCCCTGGAGGGAAATAGCCATGGATTTTATAGTGGAACTGCCAGAAAGCAATGGGAATACTGTTATCTGGACAGTCACGGACCTATTTTCCAAACAGGTGCACTTTATCCCTTGCCAAAAGATTCCCACTGCAAAGGCCTTAGCAAAACTTTTCATCCAGCACATTTACAGATTGCACAGGGCACCCCAACGCATCATCTCTGATAGGGGAGTGCAATTTACGTCTGCATTTTGGAAGGAATTTTTATCCCTCTTAGGGACCACTCAGGGACTGACATCTAGTCATCACCCTCAGATAGATGGACAAATGGAACGTTGTCATTCAGTACTTGAGCAATATTTGAGATGTTTTTTAAATTTCCAACAGAGTGATTGGACGGACTTACTCCCTTTTGCAGAAGTTGCCTACAATAATTCAGTCCACTCCAGCACAGGCTACACTCCTTTTCAAATAGCCAACTGTCAAAGTTTCAACCCCTAGCCAGAATTAACCCCAAATGAACCAATGATCTCATCACTGAAAGAATGGATGGAAAAACTACAAAACACCTGGCCAATAGTCAGAAAAGCACTAGATGAAGCTAGGCAGGCATACAAAGCACAAGCTGATAAAAAAAGGTTGAGCCTACACCATTCATTATAGGTGAAATGGTGTACCTATCTACAAAATACCTAAAGTCTCTACAACCCTGTAAAAAACTTGGACCAAAATATATAGGGCCTTTTCCAATTAAAGGAATCATAAACCCAGTAACAGTAGAATTAGAATTACCAAAAAATCTCAGGCAAATACACCCAATTTTTCATTGCAGCTTGCTGAAAAGAGAGCATCAGTCAGCGTTACAGCCCAAAATCCCCCCCCACCACCTCCAATCATGGTAGAGGGTGAACAACACTTCGAAATAAAGGAAATCCTTGATTCTAGGAGATATCATGGAGCAACTCAGTACCTAGTTGCCTGGAAACACCTCCCTGCCTCACAAAACGAGTTGGTCCATAAACATTATGTCAGAGCCCCGAAGCTATTGAAGAAGTTTCACACAGAGTACCCTAACAAGCCTGACTAACTTTTATACCTGTTTTGTTTTTTCCAGGTGGATCTCTCTTATTTTTGAGGGGGCCGGATGTCAGAATCCAATTATATTTCATCTTTAGTTATCAAATATAGAAACTCCCAATTCTGCCTTCTCTGGATTCTGCCATCAGAGGGAGAGAAGGGGGAGAACAAAGGGGCTTTATGGCCCTCACTTCCTTCAGTATACTTCTAAGGAACTGAATGTGTGTATTGCAAAAGAACTAACCATAAAAATGGGTCTGTTTTCCTTTCATGTAGTTTCTTTGAAGTCTTCATCCAGCCGGGCAGTAATGAAAAGGGGGTGGAAGTGTAATGCCTGAGACTGTCGCTGAAAGAGGGGGTTGATTGGTTGGGACTACTGGGGAAAACCCTTAAAACCTTGAATTGGAGAGCTTGGACCCCAAGTCCTGTCTAGAACGCCTGCAACCATTTTCTCTTAATAAAGGATTCCTGTTGGAAGAATTATTCCAAGAGTTCAGTCTTCTTAAGATGCAAAGTGGGGTGGGTTCTTACATTTACATGATGTGAAGCAGAGGGGGTGGCCAGCAAGAGAATACCTAAGAGAATTTTGAAGGGTGGCAGGGAGGATTAGGCAATGGCCCGAGCAGTCATTGATCTACTACTTCAAAGCGGGGTTGGATCGCAATGTATTGCAGGTATGCATCTGCAGGAGCAACCCTAATCAACTCCATGATTGGTGCCACTTACCAATCATGGATATCGAGTTGACCCAGTGCCATAATCCTGCTACTTTGGGATCTCAACTAAAGTAAGACCCTGTGAGGCATCAACTGTCACAGCGGCCTCCACCTGCCATGATGCGTGGGTCCATTCAAGCCTCTACTGGACCCCAGATCAAGTGCTTCAGGTCTGGACAACCTGGACATCAAGCTGCAGAATGCTTGGTCCCTTTCACTCCATCAAAAAGTGCGACCGCAGCTCTGGCGAAGCCAAAGAGACTACCTCAGCCAGCCTGGGCCATCCAGGGGCAAGTTGTATAAGTCACAAGTTGTACAAGGAGCCAGCTGAATGCCTGCCCACACCAGATCCATATGACAGTGATGACAGGGGGGAGGATGACCTGATGGTGAGTCAGCCTCTCCCACCTTTTGCTTTTTCTGCCAAAATAATAATGCCAAAATCTGGGGCTCAGTTGGACTTGAATGTTTTAGTTGATTAGGGATGCACCCAATGCTTAATCAATCTCCCCACCATACTAAAACTGTGCATTAGAGCAAAATTGCTACCTTTACCCATGAGGTTTGAGCAGGCTGATGGATCTCTATAGGAAGAGCCCTGGCTACCCACCTAACTGAACTAGTGCACCTAGAAATAGGGGAGCATTGGGAGCTAATCCGCTTTGTGGTATCGCAAAAATGACTGAAGCTGTGTGTAAGGACCCACCCCACTTTGCATCTTAAGAAGACAGAACTCTTGGAATAATTCTTCCAACAGGAATCCTTTATTAAGAGCAAATGGTTGCAGGCGTTCTAGACAGGACTTGGGGTTCAAGCTCTCCCATTCGAGGTTTTAAGGGGTTCCCCAGTAGTCCCACCCAATCACCCCCCTCTTACAGTGATAGTTTCAGGCATCACAATCCCACCCCTTTTTTCCTTTCTTCCGTCTGGATGGAGACTTCAAATAAACTACATGAAAGGTAAATAGCCTCCTTTGTTATGATAAGGCCTTTTGGTGCTAACTACATTCAAACCCTTTGAAGTTGTACCAAAGGAAGTGAGGGCCATAAAGCCCCTTTGTTCACCCCCCTCTCTTTCTTTATGGCAGAATCCAGAGAGGGCAGAAATGGGGGTTTCTATAATTGATAACTGGAGATGAAGTATAATTGGATTCTGACATCCGCCCCCCCTTAAAAATAAGAGAGATCCACCTGAAAGAAAACAAAACAGGTAGAAAAATTAGTCAGGCTTGTTAGGATACTCTGTGTGAAACTTCTTCAATAGCTTTGGGGCTCTGACATGACGTTTATGGACCCACTCATTTTGTGAGGGAGGGAGGTGTTTCAGGCAACTAGGTACTGAGTTGCTCCATGATATCTCCTAGAGTCAAGGATTTCCTTTATTTCGAAGTGTTGTTCGCCCTCCACCATGATTGGAAGTGTGGGGGGGGGATTTTTGGCCGTAGAGGTGACTGATGCTCTCTTTTCAGC